CTCTGCACTGGGGCAGCCTCACCTCCAGTGCTGGGGGCAGCTTTGGGTGCCACAGTATAAAAATGAGCTGAAGCTATTAGAGATTGTCCAAAGGAGGGCCATGAGGATGGTGAAGGTCTCAGGGGGAAGCTGGGTGAGGAACAGTTGAGGTCACTTGGTCTGTTCAGCCTGGAGGAGACTGAGGGGAGACCTCAGTGCAGTTACAGCTTCCTCCTGAAGGGAAAAGGAGGGGCAGGCACTGATCTCTTCACTCTCATGACTAGTGACAGAACTTGAGGAAACAGCATGAAGCTGATTTGGGGGAAGTTTAGGTTAGGTATTTCGAAAAGGTTTTTCACCCAGAGGTGGCTGGGCACTGGAACAAGCTTCCCAGTGAAGTGGTCACAGCACCAAACCTGACAGAGCTCAAGAAGTGTTTGGACAATGCTCTCAGGCACAGGGTGGGATTCTTGGGGTGGCCTGCACAGGGCCAGGAGTTGGACTTGATGATCCTGATGAAGAGTCTCTTCCAGCTCCGTGCTTCTATGAAAGATGCTTCTATGAAGTCTACAAAATCCAGTATCCAGAAGGGACAAGATGTTTTGTCAGGATCAAAATATTGCAAAACTGTGTAGTGCACATTACTTACCAGCCAAAGTAATTTAGTGATTTCATATACCACAAATACTGCCCATGTCTTGCCACATCCTCCTTCTCTTACATGTTCCAGACCCATCATGTCTCCCAAGCCCTCACTGGTATGAATCAACCATCTCATTCACTGTTGTTATACTGAGTAACACCAAGCTCTGCCAGCACGCTAATGTCCCAGACTTTGAGCTGGCTCAGTCTTTTTCCATTCTTAAATACTTTCTCATGAAGATGCAGTAACAATTCAACAGATATTTAAGCAGATCAGAGTGTCTTGCCATGTCTTGCACTGCTTTTTTTAACCAGAACTAACCTCACTTGACTTGTCAACAGGGTTATCAGAGTACCCTGTGATAGATCTGGCACAGAACACATGGTGTGCATCTGTGGTTGCAACAAGAGAAAGGTGTTTTGGGAAAATAAATATGCCCTTCTTCTCCTAACCAGGATCCTTTTTAGAACACTTTTAGTTTATTCATTTTCCTGAGTGAGACAGGCATTTTGTCTTTAAGGAATGGCAAAATGATCACTCAAAATGTGTCACAACTTTTGATGGGAATTTAAATCCAAGTAAAACAAGTGTACAGTGCTCTGTCAAACTAAATAGGCTTTACAGTTTATCTGCAAAGTGCAAGTGCCATTTAACAACCAAGCAACACATTATTGCTTTAGAAATTGAATCCTCTCTAGTAATTCTCCATGGCCACTGTTATGTCCCCAGTCTCTGGTATTACTATGTAGAGCAGCTGAGATAGTCTCACCTATTGTAAGAATACCTCCAAAGAGATGACCAGGGAACCAAGTGAACACAAGCACTAATTAATATCCATTGGGAAGTACACAAGTGTAGGTCTAAAACACGATTGACGAAAATGTCCATAAACTGAGCAGGTACCTAAGGTTTTTTAAGGAAGGTTTAAATTTTTAATTAACAAACCATGAGTAGATCCCATTGGGATTTCCTAAAAGTTCCTGAGCATCATTGGCAGAAGAGTGCAAAAGAAATTAAGTGACATCTGCATACTCAATGTTCCAAGCAATTCACTGTCTCTCCACGTTATTTTTAATACATATTGAAAATCAGAATGAAAGCACTACTGAAGCACAGAGAAGAGAGAGCCTTGCTGGGCAAGTTCATAGGGGATCCTCCACTCAGAAAAATGGGTCAAGGCCATTTGGTGGGAAGACCTGCAGCAAGTGATAGAACTGCATCACATACAGATTTTTAGATCTCATGGTTTTCATTTCTCTCCTGATGTTTCACTTCTTATCTGTTGCTTTATGTATTTATGGCTCCTGACTTTGTCCTTCACAGTCACATTAGGGGAGGAATACAAATCTTCTGACACCATCCTGGATGTGAGAAGATGGATGACATCCCAGGTCTAAAGGGCATTGCATATAAGCCTCACAGCATGTGCCTAAGGTTATGTTAACAGTAGCAAAATGGAGCCTGGCCAAGCTTTGAATAGAAACTATGTACCTGGAAGTTTTCTAAGGTAAGGGAACAAGTAAAAAATACAATACCAAAGGTTACTGCATTAGAAAGGTTACTGTATTAAAGGTTACTATATTAGAAAAAGCCACAGTGAATGTTGCAACCTAATGGTGGGTGTTTGTGACGCTCCCTGAACTCTGCAAAACTTTGAGAAAAAAACTCTGTGGCATATTTAGACATTATTTTAAAAGTTATTTAGAGGTTTGCTTTTCAGTGAGTCTGGCAGACACTTTTGGAAAGATACAGTTATGTCCACTCCTAAAATATTTAAAATAATCTACTGTCAGTAGAATATCTGTAATGCAGACTAGCAGTCACTCTGAAACTGATAGCATAGTTTTCCTTAACAGTTTCAAACGCCAGGCAAACTGAAGGGGTTTGCATTGCAGAATTTTTTTACTCATTGGGCCACAGATACTGTATGTACTATTTTCTACTGCAGTCTCCTGGAAGCAGAACTGCTTGTTACCCACCTAGGTCTGCAAGGACAATAATATTAATTATTTTGACTATTTGCTTGATTTCTGGTGTACCAATTATGAGTCTTACAATAGTTTTCAGACTGGTTTCAGAAGTAGATTGAACTGCTGTTTAGAGACAAAACTTTAAATTAAGGAAGTGAGTTCAATTCCTTGGTACTCTAATTTACAGCCAAAGAGTATCAGCTGACTTCCTCCTTTAGTTCAAGTTAAGCAGAGGACATGGGAAGGCTGTGCAAAACCTCATCTTTGCAGGTGGGGAGTAAGGAGGAGAAAAGTCCTTTTGTTTCACCTGGTTTTGCCATTTTAGACAATGAGAAGTGCACAGGATAATACTACATGCTGAGTGGACTAAAAGGTTTGAAGTGGACTAAAAGGTTCTTCCTCTTTTCTCATAGTTTTTGATGAAATGAAGCCTCCAAGCCTTGCAACACTCACTAGGACTGCTGTTGGTTACGTAGTGTTGCTGTGTCACTGCAGCCCAAACCTCAGCAATCATCTCTGCCTGCCTGCCTGAAGCACATCCACTCATCTTCCCTACTAAATTTCCTTCTCACTCAAATATATATGCCTTCTTTAGTGTGGAGTACAGCAGTGTGAGGACATACTCTTCCATCCTGCCTAGAGCTTTCTGATTTTTTAGCTCTACATTTCAGGATACCTCCCAGAAAATACAGGAAATTTGAATCACACCAGCTTTGTCCCTATCCAGCTTCTCTTGGCATCTAGCCTCTGTGCCAGAGCTATTTCCAAACTAAGCCAGATAAAATATCCGGTATTGAACACCATGGTCACAGCAATCAAAGATCCACAGTGCTACTGTTTATGAAGACTGTTCCTCAACCACTCTTTCAGGAAAGGTAAAAGTATTCTGGCTTTAGTCCTGAAAGAGGGCTCATTTTCATTATAATGCTCACCCTAAAGTAAAAACTCTCTCTGCTGTAGTTTCTTTCAGATCACACCAGTAATTTCTATAAATAAGCTGCAATATGAACTCAATTCCTTAGCCTTTGTTTCAGATGTATAATGCATAACCAACAGATCTTAAGGCCCTGTAGATTTGCAGTGTATGCAAGTCTCATCTTCAGTCAAAGCTGAGTGTACACATATAATTAAAATCCACCTTTGTACCTTTTCTGTTGGATTTCCTTATCTTTTTATATTTGCAGCCATAATAAACCATAATTTATTTGTGATGTGTTTCCTTTAGCTTCTATAGTACTTCCGACTCAAGCAAAGCAGAGTGCTGAATGGGTAAGAAGAGGGAAAAATCCTTCAGAAATTGGGACAGGACAGTAGAAAGTATTCCTCCCCTTCTGTTACCTTTGATGTCCCTGATGACATGTTGAAACCTCTTACATCCTTACCAGGAAGAAACGTGTGGCTTCCAAACCAGGATCTTGGTTGCCACTCATGAATGTTTAACTTAAAAAGCCAAAATCTTCCTTACATCTGCTATGAAATATCTGACATCAAGCAAGATGGGTTTTTGCATTTTTTCCTCTCACCAGAAACTGACACTAACACCAGCAAAGTCAATGGCTAGTTTTACCACCAAGGCCTCATTAAAGACAAAAATTGTTTAAAGGCAAAGAACTGGTTCAAGAGTTACTTTGGACGTTGGGTTTTTTTGCTCTACAGTTGTCTAGTTTGCTGTTTTTATTTATTAGCCCTGCTTGAGCAATTCCCAGAGCAAATAATTTGTCATATTGGTCTTCCTTCCTCACTTAATAGGCAAAATGTATTGCCTTTATATTTTTGTAATTTAATATTTCCAGAGAACATTGATGTATCTACATATATGAAAAGCAATGCAAGTCTGGAAAAAAGTGTTTTGTACTGGGTGCAGAAGTAGCGAATTTTGTGGTACACTTCACCTAAACATATGAGGTGAAAGATTGGCTCTGTAAGTAAACAGCTAAGACATGCACCATAATGTTTTTCAGTTTCTGGAGAAATTGAATTATTTAGTCACATTTAATGACCCTGTGTTTATCAAACCATCCAAATAAGTAATAAAAATTGTTACAGAAAGCAAAATGTTTGACTAACCTATTTACCAAAATTAAGTTCAGGTCATAGCAAGATGGGCAGCAGAAAGTAAACCAAGTGCCCAAGTCCTTTACTGCTGTTTGGGTGGTCTGTGGAGTGACCCTAAGCATCCAGTGGACTTTGTTCATGTTTGCGACTGAGCAGTTCTGGTCCGTGTAATTCTGCTCAGTTTTGTGGTTGGACACACAGCACAGATTCTTCCTACATGCATCTAAAACACGTAGAGCTGAGAACAGGTAAGTAAAAGTGACTGGAAGCACAGACCACCAATGTGTTTCACAAACAAAATTTTCAGGACCTAAACAGTTACAATATACCTGACTCTGTGGGCTATTTACTAACCTGAAGGCAGATCAGCTTCCTAGGTAATCCATGTCTGCCAGGCTACTGGTCAAAATACTGTCAGTCAAAGAGTGACTATTGCAAGTCCCCGTGTTCTCCCTGCTGGAGCTTCACACTCTCTGTGTGTGAGAACAAACCTAGTTTGCATTTGTGACTGGAAAGCTAGTGAATTTAGCAATCACAGAGCTGAACTGCTGGATGACTAGAATAACACCTGCAGGGTCAGGGGAGAATGGCTAAGATAAAAAAAGGCATGGGTATGTGGAATTATTAAAAGCAAAGGCTGAGAAGTTTGTTGTCTTCTGTATAGAAGACAATATAAAAGAAAATCAACTGGCCAGAGAAAGGACAGCAGTTTCATCTCTCCTTCAAAGACTGTACTTTTTAATGATTTAAAATGAAGAATAGTGGAGAAAATCAATATTGTGAAATGTCACAGGATGCAAGGAAAGAGTGCTTTCTACCAAAGCTCATGAAAATAGTGCTATTCATCAGGATATCTTATGCAGGCCTAGTATTTGTAACAAAGAAAGAATGACTCTGCCAGTGACTGATTTTATGTGGCTTCTAGGAAGAAAATATGATTTGAATAATGAATTTCATGCAGGCAGATTTTGCTTTTAAAAGTAATTCCATGAAAATTACTTTGGAAACGATGCATGGGGGAAAGATATGTGTTCTAAAGTAAAGGCATTTTAGAAAGTCCATAATACCATGTCCGTAAATGTACTTATCTTCATGAATCCTGACTTTAATTCTGGATTTTAAAGTGATCCTCACTTTGAAAACTTGGTGAGGTACTGCACTGTGTCACATTAGGTCTTTAGAATGCAAGTATCAATGCATATGTTATTGAACAAGCACTTTATGCAACATGTTCAGTAGAAAATAGGTCATAGTGCTGTCATGTGGCTGTTGCTAAAAGAAATAATAAACAAATACCTTGGAAAATGTATGCTTCAGGGTTTAATGCAACATAATCACCAAGAGCCAACTACTCACAAAACATAGACTGCGTATTTTTCTCATTGTGAAACCTTTCTTCATGCCTTTGCAGCAGTTGCTTTCAAGCAGGACTTGACCAGATGACCCATTGACCTTACAATGTCTGACTTTTACCTTTTCCTGGATTCTTCTATATTTGAGGAGGTATTTTATCTCATCTGTTTGGAGAGAAGAAGGAAATGATGAATTCATTTTTTCATCCTATCATTTTTGTGACTGATCTTTTGTTATTTCATAATTTTCTCAGTAGCATAGGACTACCTGCATGGAGGTCAATATTCTTCTTAAATCCTGGCATGACGTGTGTTTAAATAGTTTTGGGTTACTGCACTTAAGAAAGTAGCTAAACCTAGAGTTACTCTGCTTTCATACTTTTTCAGAGTGTACTTCTACAAAGCCCCTTGAGAGCTAAAGGTGTTTGCTTGTTTGTTCATTTATATCTTGGTAAAAAGTCCTGCACAATGCTGGCTTCTCACAGATATCTGCAAATCTCACCCCTCTCCTGGGATCTGAGTTGGATATGACTTCCAGAGATAAAAGTGTGCAGTTTTGCTGGGCGTCTTGTGATAGTGTACAAACAGCATGAATATTGATGCAAATATGATTGGACTTTTGGAGATATCAGCTAACTTCCCTCACCCCCTTTCATCACTAGCCTTCTGTGGAGGGGATTCTGGCTATATGCATCACTACTTTTCAGAAGCAATATTAACAATAACAGTGCTGCAACAGAGATGATGCAAAGTCTCAATTTTTTTTCACGGGGTGCACACCTTCATAATCTTCCTCTGATACCTGGTGATTACATTGGTAACAGTGTTAGCCCTGTGAGCCCACGATTGACCTTTCACATTGTACCTGCAATCCTCTAGTGCAGATGTCACCTGTCAGTGTCATGGGATTCTCTGAAGGGCCATTTCCCACCAAAGATGCCCTTGCCTGGAGCCTCATGTGTAGGATGCTGTCATTGGCCTTACTCCTAACCAGATGTGTTAAGTAATGGATATTACAGCATGTGCATCTGCCCATGTGCTATGCATACGTCACTGTGCCTATAGGGTAAATATCACATATAAGACCTGACTTTACTGGGAAAATTTAGACATTTTCTCCATTCCTGCCCCTCCCTCACACAGACTCTTGCAGCAGTCAAGAGACAGTACAGACCTTTGAATCATCTCTTAAAAACAAATGGTGAGGACAAATAGAGGGAGTCTTTCTCAAACAGCTTGTCATTTCAAAAGAAGGCCACAGGCACGAAAACACTTGGCACCCTTGCCCAAAATGGACTCTTGAACTGAACAAGATACATGGTTTTAGGTTTAGCAACTTATTTATTTCTCTCTCTGTAAATACTGGTGCTAGGACACTATCACCTATGCTGGTGTTTACATTTCAGCCTGCTGACAGAAAAGGTGGACTACTGTGGCTCAATCACTTCTTGTTCAGCAAAATCTCACCAATCAGTCATGATGGAAATGACTTAACAACAGATCAAGTTGTTCACACAAATTAAAAGAAGAAGACAATGAAGCTGCATGCTTGGCTGGGGAAATCACTAGAGAAAGCATCACTGCTGGTGCCACAGCTCTCAGGGGCAGTCCCAGAGTGGCACAGGTTTTCCTCATGGCCCCAGACCCTGGGCTGCAGTTCTTAATGAAGCCACTGCTGTTTTCATGTACATGGGGACTTTATGATTTATGCCTCAGAAGGAGAAAGCACAGTTTATTCAGAGGGCTAAAAGGGGAAACCTCCCACTTTAGAAAGGGAGGGTTCATAAAGCCAAGGTGGTATTTTTTAGGCTGAGGAACTTAATTTAGTGAAAGTTTGCCAACATCCAGGCACTTGCCCCAATCAGCCATCATGGCAGAGGTTTTCTTACCTCATGGTGGCTCTCTGATACTTAATCCACTAAATCTGATCCCAGGTCCTTCTGTGAGCAGTGCAACACATCCTTTTCCAGGCAGCTGCAACATGCCCCATAGGCATTGCAATGACTCTCCAGGGCTAGAGGAGGAGCCCACAGCACTTATCTTACACATGAAAATTAATTATTAGATACGTAAAATGAAGTGAGATGGATTCCTTCTCAAATAAGTTGGTCCAGTAATGTTTATTTATGTCCAGATACTGCCTGCCTGCTCCCACTGATGACTGCAGTGCAGTAAACTCCATTTCTTCCAATGTGAGTGGAGTGTTTTGCTGTGGGGGTTAGAGCTACAGATTTGGTCTTCTGACTATGTGTCTTTTGTGTCTTCTGACATTGTGTCTATATAGCAACTGAAATAATGAAACATTTAATTAGAAAAGGAAGTGATTCATAACATCAGTTTAAAGCAAAATATCTTAACATAATGAAGTAAGAAAGTGGCAGTGACTCATTTTATCTTCATTTAAATGACAGGGCATCCCAAGAAATAGCTGCAATTTGAGGGAGTCTCCTTTGAAATCCAGCCCAGCATACTTATTTCTCTTAGCTAGAGACACAGTGTGGGAATCCTTGAGAGCATAGGGTGAACTTCCCTCATGACACCCCGTGAAATACACTGACTTGCTGGGTGAAGAAACTCTGCTGTGGAAAGATTTACACCCACACTGCAAAATTGCTAATTTAGCCTGCCGAGATCCTGTCTCTGACAGCTGAGTGTGTTGACTATGCCAAGAAGCACATTCAAGCACATCCATGCTCTTCTTGGCTACAGATCATAATATGCACACAGCCTAAAGAATCACAGCACTTCATCAAAATTGTTAATTGTGCTTACTGCACCTGCATCCTGGTGACATTTAAATAATAATAGTCCTGTCCTGACTCTTGGGGCAGGCCCTTTCCATTTGTAGTGATGGAATCTTATCAAGGACAGAAATCAGTTGCACATCCTCCATCTTCCCAAGAGAAATCCATCTGTGAGGTGTTGAGTCCCTGGCTCCAATCCAGCAAAGCATTCAAATACTTTACCTGTGCATTTTGTGTCAGTGTTCATATGCTTGGAGATGAACCTGCATTTTTATGGCTGCTGCAGAGGAGAACAAGTCCTTAATGTGCTGGGTGATGTGTAACAAGAGCAGCATTAAACCAAAACATGGTATTTGAACTTCTCACTTTTCAGATTTTCAGGCCTTCCATCTGAGTGACATCCATGTTCAAACAACTACTTTCAGCAGTGATTTTTATACTGAAGCCTCCTTTTAGGCTCTGCAACATTAGAGAGTAGAACTTGGCCTTCAACTTACAAGACCACCAGTCCCTAACAGACCCACAGGTCCCTAACTGGTCACCAACAGAAGCAACAAATACGACAGAATTCAAACAATGTGTGTTTTTGGTGCATGTCTGGTATTTGAAATACCTTTCTCTGCTAGATGCCACCACCAGTTAATTTTCAGAAGTAAGTTTCACCAATATACAGGGATAAGAAGCAAAACAGTGTGAAGTACAGAAAAAGTTGCTGAGACATGCAGACTCAGCTCCAAAGGCAAAAAATTGTGCAAGAATTCCCTGTAACTGATGACTTATTAAACTAAGGTGTGTTTATGAACTACAGGAACTGGGTAGTTATCTACTTCCTGGAAGTTCTTAAGTGTTGCCTGGAACATTTAATTCCCTTTAACTGAACAAAGTTGACTATAACACAGAAAAATCCCACAGGTTACAAACTAAGCCTGGCAAGCTTTAAAAGGGGGAAGAGCAAGACTGGCATGCACCACAAGCCACTAGAGCCAGTCTCAAGCTGTTGCAATTTACTTGCTGCATGTCTGGTGTGTCTTCCCAAGCAGTCCTATCTCCTGGTGCTTTCTATTCAACAACCTTGTCCTAGGAAATGCTGAGTGTTGCTCACCTTTTTAGCCTTGCAGCCTCTTAACTACACCACTGCCACTGTGGCTAAGCACTCTCCTTCCAAATGAAATAAACCATCACATTATTTTACACTCCACAGGACCCATCTCTAAAATTAAAAACTTTCAAGCACAGCTTCCATACAAAAAATGCCAGGAGAGAAAGCTGCCGATGGCACCTTGCCCCCTTGCCCATCCACAAATCAACTAGATGGGGATAAGCAGCTGCCCAGCAAACTAAGTGCACCATGGCACAGCATCATCTACCACAATTGCAGCTACGAAACTGAATATGTCTGGTGACTGTTCACACACAAAGGGTGTCTGGAAAGAAAGCAGTTGCAGACCTTCAATTTTGCACTGCAGCCCACAAACTACACACCCTGTGCTTTCTTTTCCACCTCAATATACCATGCTATTATTTACTTTCAACAGGTTAGAGCACAAAACCTGAAAACAGCCAGTATCTGCTACAGAAAAAAACCCCAACAAATGCCAAGAGAGAAAGCTGTTGCTAGCCTTCCTCTCTCTGCAGAGCCTATCAACTGCACTTCAGACTCTGGGGCTGAATGTGCTTTCCACGCCTTGCACAGCTGCCTGTGATGTCCTTGCTGAACATAATAGCTGCTTGTGTATGAATGGAAATCCTGGCTTTGCCAGGTGTTTGCAGGGTCACTGGTGGCCCTGTTGTGATGGTGTGGGAGCAGGAAGCAGGGTTCTGCAGCTTTTGATGATGGCATTGTGGCTGAGTAGATGGCAGGAGAGAAGCAGGGCACTGGTGTGAATTGGAGGAGTTATGCTGATGGCTTGTATTGAGGAGAAGGAGTAACAACAGCAAAGTGTGTTGTGGTGTGTTGCAGAGGGGATGAGCCAGAAGATGGGAAAATGTCAGTGCCCTCCTTTTCACCCTATCTAATACTGGGGCAGGGATAGATAAAGAGGATGTGATTTATTATGCAAATTAAATGCTCACATAGCTGGGAAATTCTGCACAGTTGCAGATGGAAGGCTCGATCCTGTTGGGGAATGAACCAGACCTTGGAGGAACCTAAGAATGACATCCTGGATGTGATACTGAATGCTGCTTAGAGTGACAATCTGTATATAACATATTCCCAGTAAAGAAGAGCATAGGCTGGTGTAGGTTTTCAGAGCAATAATCCAAATAAATAATGAGCAAGTACTTTTTTGACTATTTCGGATTTAGAAGATGCTTTCTTTTGCATTCTGGTGGATGAGCAGAAATCCAACAATGGGAAGAAAGATGCAGGACAGTACTACCACAGAGATCAAGAAACAGCTCTACTCTCTTTGGTAATGT